CCCCCCTGTCCCTGTCATGCCCATGTCCCCTGTCCCTATAGTGCCCATGTCCCCTGTCCCTGTGGCCCCCCTGTCCCTGTCATGCCCTTGTCCCCCTGTCCCTATAGTGCCCATGTCCCCTGTCCCTGGTGTCCCCGTGTCCCCGTCCCCGGGCTCCGCGGGGTCCCCGGGGTCCCCGGGGCCAGGGCACATGTCTGTCCCCCCCGCAGGGCTGCGGCGGGCCAGGGCGCGGGGGGGGCGGCCGCCCCGGGGGGGCTCCGCGCCCGGGACCCCCCCCGAGCTGCCCAGCCAGGAGCTGCAGGCGCTGCAGTTCCTGCAGGTGGGGGCACGGGGGGCACAGAGAGGGGCATGGCATGGGGGTACCCGGGATGGGGGGCCCTTGGGTGCCCAGAATGGGGCTACCCCGGGTGGGGGTGCCCAGGAATGGGAATAGGGGGACCCATGGGTGCCTGGGATGGGGGGTCCAAGGATGGGAGTGCCCAGGGATGGGGATGGGGGGCCCTGGGGGTGCCCAGGGGAGACCTTGGGGGTACCTGGAGCTGGGGGTGCCAAGGGGTGCCATGGGGTTGGGATAGGGGGTGCCCATGGGTGCTGGGGGTGCCCATGAGTGCCAGGAACTGGAGCTGGGGACACCCCTGGATGAGGATGCCTAGGGATGGTGGCACCTGGGGGTGGTGGCACCCATGGGTGCCCAGGATGGGGATGCCTGGGGACAGTGGCACCCGTGGATGGTGGCCGCCAGGGATGGTGACACCTGGGTGCAGTGGCACTCCGGGGTGGTGGCCCCATCGCGGTGTCCCGTCGCACCCACGAGACACCAGGACACCATGAGACACCATGGAGCTCCGGGACGGGGACACGGGGACACCAGGGACATGGGAGCCATAGGGACAGGGTGCCCTAGGGACAGATGTACATGGGGACGGGGGTGCCATAGGGTACAGGGTGCCCTGGGGACAGGCGGACAGGGGCAGTGGGGACCCTGCACCTGGGGACACCAGGGACATGGGTGCCATAGGGACATGGGGACATGGGGACAGGGGTACATGGGGACGGGGGTGCCCTGGGGACAGGGGGACAGGGGCAGTGGGGACCCTGCACCTGGGGACACCAGGGACATGGGTGCCATAGGGACATGGGGACATGGGTGCCCTAGGGACAGGGGTACATGGGGACGGGGGTGCCATAGGGTACAGGGTGCCCTGGGGACAGGGGGACAGGGGTACATGGGGACGGGGGTGCCCTAGGGACAGGGGTACATGGGGACGGGGGTGCCATAGGGTACAGGGTGCCCTGGGGACAGGGGGACAGGGGTACATGGGGACATGGGTGCCCTGGGGACAGGGGGACAGGGGCAGTGGGGACCCTGCGCCCGCAGGTGCTGCAGGCCGGGCGCTTCTCGGCCGTGTGGCGGGGCAGCCTGCGGCGCCGGCCCGTGGCCATCAAGGCGTTCGCGGCGGGCGCGCGCGGGCGCTTCGCGGCG